AGGGGTGAAAGAGAGAAACAGGTGAGGTAAGGGGAGGGACAGGTGAGGGGGGGGCAGAGAGAGGGGTGAAAGAGAGGGACAGGTGAGGGGGGGGCAGAGAGAGGGGTGAAAGAGAGGGACAGGTGTGGGAGAGAGGGAGAGAGACAGGTGTGGGAGAGAGAGAGAGACAGGTGAGGGGTACGTACTGAAGATGGCGTTGATCCGGTGTGGGTCCAATGCTCGGCGCTGTGAGTGTGAGGCGGGTCGCCGGCTCCGCCCCCCCCGCAGGTTGCTGTTCATCAAGGTGTTCATATCAAACACCCCCATCAGCAGCATGCGGGCCATCGCCGTGGGAGACACCGCCTGATTGGCTGCCTGCCAGGAGCTGATGTCACAGAGGACTCCAGAGCCTGGGTACACCTCTACCTGCCTCACCTGCACAGGTAGACCAGACCAGGGAGGGGTTAGATTACCAGCAGGACCCTAATGAGGGGGTAAAGAGCTGCAGGCACGTGAATGTATGGCTAACGAGGTCTTAATGAACAGTTACGGAGGTCTTAACGAGGTCTATGACAAACAGTAAACGAGGTCTAAACATCCAGTAAACAAAGTCTTAACGAGGTCTTAACGAGGTCTTAACGAGGTCTTAACAAGGTCTTCAATAACAGTATACAAGGTCTAAACGAGGTCTACACAAACAGTAAACAAGGTCTTAACGAGGTCCTAACGAGGTCTTAACGAGGTCTTAACAAGGTCTTAACGAGGTCTTCATAAACAGTTAACGAGGTCCTAACGATCCAACGATATTAACCTCATCATTGGAGTCTGTCTGGAGTGTTGTTATATGATGATGTAATAAGACTTCCTGCGATACCTGTCCGTCCAGGTGGGAGGCGGTGCACTGGCTCTCTGAGCAGCTCCTCCTCAGCTCCTCCATATCGGTCTGTCTGCAGAGAGGAGCCTCCTCCCCCATGTGGCTCCCCAGGGGGGGGCCCTCCTCCTCCACCCCCCAGGACAGCTGGTCCACCTGCGGGCTGAATCCTGCATCCTGATTGGGCGGTGCGTGCTGCTGCGAGTAGGGGGGGTAATCGTCGCCCCTGCCTGTTGCCGTGGAGACAGAGTGTTGGCCGTTGCCCAACGTCTGCCACATGGTGGACAGGAGCCCGGGGATCTCTGGGAAATGTAAGGCAAGTTTATTTAAATAACACCTTTCAACACAAGGCAATTCAAAGTGCTTTACACAAATGAAAGACATTAAGAAACATATTATAAAATGGCATTTAAAAGCAAAGATAATAAACCATGAATAACACAGGTACATGAATAAATGTCATCATAAATACAACTCCTGTGCACTCTTTACCAT